TCAGGCAAAGTCTCAAGTGGAAGGATTGGGACACTAACTCAGTCACAAAACCTTTGACCTACACTTCGTCCTGCCTGCAGAGTGTTTTGGGGCCAGAGCCTAGCAGAGTCCTCATCAAAGGGACCAGAGAGACTTCATCCAGCAACTGATGGGAACAGATGCATAATCCCACAGCCAAACATCAGGCAGAACTTGGGGAGTCAAGCAGAGGAAAGGGAGGAAGGATTGGAGTAACTAAAGAGGTCAGGAACACCACAAGAACATGGCTCACAGAATCAGTTAGCCAGGACTTGTGAGGGCTTGCAGAGATCAGGGAGCCTGTAGGGGTCTGACCTAGATACTCTGCATGTATGTATGTTATGGCTGGGTTGCTTGGTGTGCTTGTGGGATTCCTAACAGTGGGAGTGGGGGCATTTCTCTTTTTGCCTACTTATGGAACCCTTTTCCTCCTACTGAGTTGCCTCATCCAGCCTTCATGTGATGGTATGTACCTGGCCTTATTGTAGAATATATGTGCCGTGTTTGGTTGATGTTCCTGGGAGGCCTGCTCTTTTCTGAGGGGAGATGGAGGGGATGTGGATCTGGGGGAGAGGAGAGATGAGAGGAAGGCTGAGGGGAGGAACGTGGGGCAAGAGTTTCCACCTAAAACCTGAGAAAAAAGATTCTAAAACGGAGCTAAAAACAGTTCCTAGTTGTCTCTTTCAAGTTAGCGGCAGCCTGCCGGTTTGAGCTACTGGCGGGTTCCTAGTGTGCGTGCATGCTCGACCTGCAGTATGGTGAGAATGAGGCCTCTGCAAGTGGCACATTAAGCTGTGTGGTGGATTTAGCCTTTGCTAGTACAAAACAAAACAAAAAAAAGAGGTTTCTGGGCTACACGCTGCTTTGATAGAAGCATAGACCCACTATTTCTGAGAGTTGATGGCTCCCAGAGCTGGCGGAAACTGTATCACTGCCATGTTGGGAAGCTGAAGTGGGCGGAGCCAGCAGCGCCAGCTCCGTTTCAGGCTTAAAAGGCTACAGTTCAAAGCAATAGGCTCAAGCTAATATAAAAAATAAGCCACGTAAAGATGGCTACCACACAGAGAAACTGGATTATGTTCTCTTTGATATTCGTAACTAAAGAAAAACATTTGATTACAAAAGCTGTTGAGTTATGCCAAAATGTATATTTTAAAGGTACCTTGACTTCAAAATTTGGATGTAAGGATATGTTGCTTTGGAAAGGAGGCTCTGCTTTTGTTTCCACAGAAAGCCAGAGGCTATGGATTTGTTCCAGATTAAGACACATCAGGTTTGACCAGCCAAGACCACCTGAAAGGTCTCCGATGACACCATGGCCCAGATGATCCAACATCCAGAACCGTTTCAAGGCAACTGGCTCAGACAATACACCCTCATGGACTACTCCATAACCCTAAAATATTCTTTGTGTCCCCATAAGATACAGCGCCCCCTCCATCAGGAAGTAGTAAGAAAACCTACGCCCAAATTCCCAAATATATCAAGCTGACTTTGGAGATGTGTAAAGGTTAAAACCTTCCTTTTTAAGAAAAGAAAAGGGGAAGTGCTGTGGGATGGTCTGTATGTCAAATGTGATGCTGATTGGTCAATGAATAAATCACTGATTGGTCAGTGGCCAGGCAGGAAGTATAGGCGGGACTAACAGAGAGGAGAATTGAGAGAACAGGAAGCTGGGTGAGGGAGACACTGCCAGCCGCCATCAGGACAAGGAAGATGTAAAGTACCGGTAAACCACAAGCCACGTGGCAAGGTATAGATTAATAGAAATGGATTAATTTAAGCTGTAAGAACAGTTAGCAAGAAGCCTGCCACGGCCATACAGTTTGTAAGCAATATAAGTCTCTGTGTTTATTTGGTTGGGTCTGAATGGCTGTGGGACTGGCGGGTGTCAGAGATTTGTCCTGACTGTGGGCCAGGCAAGAAAACTCTAGCTACAGGGAGGGGAGGGAGGGGAAACTGCTGTTGGGATGTAACATATGAGAGAAGAATAAAAAATGTCTGCTCTGCCAGTGCAGTCATTATGGCTACAGGAATCCAGTGAATGAAGATGAAATTGTACTCCAGGCTGTTAAAAAGAAGCAAGGAGAAGTGAATGGGATGTCAGAGTCTGCTAGAATGACCAGTAATCTCAGGATCATCCCTGATGAAACTCTGTACTTGGGAGAACTTGGGAGACCCCAAGAAATGATAGAGGAAAGGACTTAGCATCATGCCTAACTTGCAGAAAGCATTTTATAGATACTAGCACTTCTAGTGATCTTTATGCATGCCTAGATTATTTTGTAGCCCTCTTCCAAGTTCCTTTGAAGTCATGGGGAGCTGCTTGGAATGATGGGTTTTAGGGAAACTATGTTGTTGGATGAGGTCAGAGTGATATAGACAACACAGGCATGCTGTGGACATCCACAGCACCATCCCTGTTTGTGACTGCTTCATAGGAAACATGTCACTGAAGAGGACTGATTGCCTCTCAGGTACACAGAGGCAGACAGTACTGGAATGGTAGAACCAGAAGAGGAAAATTCTGAGAGAAATAGTAGCCAAGAGGACTGTCTGTATGTTAGACATTTGTGGTATATCAGGATGCTAATATCATCTAGGCTGGTGAGCCACAGGAAGCATCTATCCCCAGCCACCAGGAATACCATGAGGTGCTGAGAAGGATGTGAAGGGAGAAGATCCGGGTATGCGGCATTGTGGGTGAGTGTTCAGGCCTTGTGGCTTAGTGGGAAGGGTACTTACTGACTCCGGAACACATTTTCAGGATTTAAATACTAACTTTTCAATTATGTGACTGAGAAGGGTGACTCCTCCAGGTTCCTAGTCTCGCTGAACTATTCACAACCATTCTAACTCTAAGCACAAGTCTAAATATGAAGGCATATGTGGGTTTCTGGATTCAGTGTTCTAGTTCTTGTCCTTCCAGGAAAGCCTGCTGGTTTAGCCTCCAACCTGTTTCTATAAACTTGGAGCTCAACTTGTGTGAACAGTTGTAGCAAGCACAAAACAGTTGGGAGGGTGGGAGTGAGTGACAGCGGGTAGGTGACAGATTAAAGAAGAAAGGATTAGGAGAGAGTAGTGTGTGAAAGGGAAAGTGCCCCCCCCCCACCCCGTTATCTGCTATATCCCCACTCCTCATCACAGCTGCTGAAAGTCAAGTACATGATCAAGACATGAAAGCGACTTGGACATGGGAGGTAAGCAGAAAAGAATGTGAATCCAACCCCCTAACCTCAGTTTTTTCATTTGTGTTATAGGTGTGGCTCAGCGTTGATGTGAAGTTTAAACAAGATGACAGTGTCTAGCAGACTGTGTCTGCTAATATGACTGTTCGGCAAATAAACATTCTCTTAACTTGCATGTCCCCCAATTGCCTTACTCCTTTTTTCACCTTACCCACACGATGCTAGTTAAAGAAACAAACCTACACTCTACTAAAATTGATGTTTGGGGGATGTAAACAACATGTGGTGGTGAGGGAAGGGCGCAGAGGAAAGACAAGTCATAACCCCAAACAAGGGTGAATTCACTTGTTTTTCTGTAGCCTTACAATTCTCTGGTTCCTGAAAGCCACAGAAGTGTTTTTCAGGACAGCATCCCTGCTTTTTCAACACTTTATGGACCAGAAGACTTGCGTCAGGCAGAGTGAGGCATCACCCAGTTACCAAGTCACATCCTGGAATTACAGGGGGGCCTTGTTCTTCCACCCAGAACAAGTCTGGGGAAATAGAGAACTGAGAAGGCAGTGGATCCTCACTTGTTTTCTAGTTAAACAGCGGACGACGCCCTTTTATGGTGATTATATCTCAGTTGCAGGGAGAGCTGGCCAGCCTGCGGGGATCCCACCAGTTCCCTGGTATTTACCTCCCAACAGACAACTTTCAGCACCACGGACAGCGCCCCGCCTCTCACCAGCTCCCCAGAGCTCTCTGCGACCCGGGAGAGGAGGCAGGGTATCCCCGCATCCTTTGGCTACTCGGTCCGGTTACTGCCTCCGCCACACAGGCGAACATCCTTTGAGCCTCTTGACTCAAGATCTCAATGAACCGAGTTTCGCACACGTAGCGAGATTAGTACCAAGAACAGGCGACAGCCCTGCTGCTCCTACCTTCCCTCATCTTCTCTTTCCATCCCTTCTGAGTCATTTGGCAGCTTCTACCTTGCTGCTCGATCGTAATATAAAATGCACATTTGACGGGGGAGGAGGAGTGACTCAGGGGGGAGAGGAGGCTCGGGGCCACGCCAGCCGACTCTGGCCCTCGGAATTCGTGGGGAACTGAATGTGCTTTGGGGCTGGGGAAAAGGCCAGGATAAGAGGAGAAACAGCTCGGGCCAGAGTCCTCTTGAAAGCCGCTGGGCAGCAGCGTACCCGGATACCTCTCCCGTCACATCCTTCTCATCGCCTCACAGTGTCCCGGTTGGCTGGGGACAGATGCTCCCCGTGGCGCACCAGCCTAGTCGGGCTCCTCTGGAGTCCCTTTGAAGAGTTTTGCTCAGGTAAAAGGACAGATTGTTGTCCCCGCCTTCCTCTGGGACTGCGGCCCGCCCGGAAACCATCTCTTCTTTTTCCAAGGGCTCAGTCCCAGGCCGAGAGCCCAGTTACCCCAGGCAGGTGCGTGCACAGGCTTGGAGGACAGTGTGGGCCCCGCGGCTGCGGAGACCCGGGTGGCCGGGACTCCCAGTAGCTCAGCCTCGCGCTCCCGCCTCGGCTGCGCCAACCCGCGCCCCGTCTGCCCGCTCCCGCGCGGCCCCACGTCGCGCACGCTCCCGGGGCCCCATTCCCTGCCGGAGCCCGCGCGACCCTGACCTCGCTCCTTCTTTCTTCCAGAGACCCCCTTCCCATAGGTCGCCCTCAACCTCCGCGCCATGTTCCCGCTTCCTCCCTTCGGGTGCCTGGGGCTCGCTGGTTCATCTGAGTCGCGGGAAGCCAGGGGCTGCACAGGGGGCACAGCCTGTGGTGAAGGGGGGCATCCACTCACCAGAGAGGCTGGAGGTGACGGTCTGGAAGCTGATGGCCGGCGATCTGCACTTCCAGCTGAGATGCGGGCGGTGGTGGTGGTAAAGGAAGAGAGGAGGCAGCGGCTGCTGCTGAATCGCTCCTCAATTATTCAGATCTAAACCCCTCCGCAACCCTCCAGCGCCTGCCAGTCTGCTCTCCGGCTTGCCTATCTCCGCCTCCTTGCAGTCACGTGGCTAGCCCAGCCCCTTCCATTACTGGGGACAAGCATCGCTCCCGAACAGCCCCTCCCGCTTCCGCCGGGTCTGTCACTCACCCGCCTTCCTGAGCTTCCAGGTGCGGCCTCCAGCCTCCAGTGTCTCCCGCTGTGTGGAGCAGGGGAGACCGGTTCTATGCCCTGGGAATGCAGGGTAGGTAGGACTCTGCAGTGTCGGTGTGCTGGTTGGGTTGGCTTCTGCCATCAGCTCCACCTCTCCTGGACTCAGCTGCCCGCCAGGCCTGCTTCCTGTCCCCTGGAAGCTTTCTTCCTCCCGGTGAGGAGCCCTTGATACTCTTAACCTTCTTTCACCCACCTCAACGCTACCGGAAAAAAGAGATTGGAGATGTTAATCTCCCCCTCAGCTCTCATAGACAACAAGACCCAAAACTCAAATAGACCAATCTTATTTTAGAGTCCACAACATTTCGAGGATTGGAGATTTTTGAAGACCTACTCGGAATTTCAATCTATGACCTTCTAGCTTTTCTTCCCTTGTCTATGAAATGAACCTCTCCCAGGACTCTAGAGACAGTGGGCATCATGTTCTTGAAGTTGCTTAGCTCAGTGCTAGACATGGGAAGAGATCAGTAAACGGGAGTCCTTCTCTTGCCTCCATTAGAACAGTTTCAGAAACAAAAAGGGTGTGATGTGTGTGTCAGAAGGATGGAGATGTCTTTTGGAACATAGAAGGAGTCTTCCATGAGGTCAGGCTAGATAGTCAGGCCAAGCAGACAGAGGAGATATGTGAAGCTTTTATTTTACACTAGTCCCTTAAAGTGAGTGTTCTAGAAGCACTCTATCTCAAAAGGACTAGTTGGGTGAGGTGCCACGCACTTTTAATTCCAGCACTCCGGAGGCAGAGGCAAGAGGATTTCCGTGAATTCAAGATGAACCTTATCTACATAGCAAGTTCCAGGCCTGCTGGGGCTACATAGTAAGACCCTGTCTCAAACAAACAAACAAACAAACAAACAAACCAACAAGATAGAAAATAGATGGTACCAATCCCAGCACATCTGACCTCGTTGTGAATCAATTATTTAACATGCATTGAGTAGATTGATTTGGACACAAAGTGCCTTCATAAATTGTTAGACCTTTGTCAAAGCCCTTAAAGTCTATGGCAGTTGATGGCGTGTAAGCTCCTTCTATTAGATATAAAAGTTACTAAACTTGTTGTGTTCAGGGAGAATACTGACTGACTGCTATTCCTTTCATGGAGGGCAAATTCATATCTAACTCCAGGTTGTGGATCAGCCCTGGCCTTTGGAGGTCTAGCTGTTCCTTTGGTATATCCAATCATGGCCAGGACAGTCTTGGTCCATCCACCTACTTCAACCACATCACTCCCTTAAGCCTGCATCCAGACCTTCTTGAGACAATACTTTGGCTTAAACTTTTAAGTTCATAGTGTATCAGACTTCTTGGGATCCCACAAAGTTGTGAGATGTTGCAGAAAAAGGGTGAAGTTTGGGATGTTGGTGCAGACTCCGCCTGGGACTCACCATATAACCCTCAAGTGGTCACTTGAGCCTTCAGGGTTGCATCCTGAAAATGGGAAGAGCATGTCCAGGAGACAGTTGTGATGTTCAGATAGGCTAATTAATAGCCGCTAGTGAGTGAGAAGCCATGGTGGTAAAAAGTAAACCAATACCTACAAGCACTATGGCCTGAGGGAAACACTGAGGCTGCTTTAGTCCCAGGGTACTAAGGGGTTTAGGAGAGGGGACTCTGGGGTTGGGGAGCAGCTACTGAGAAGTCAGCGAGTCTCTGTAAGTTTACAAGTCTGCCTGAAACCCAAGGGCTGTGTGGGTCTAAGAGCTTCACTGTCGCTCTGAGTTTTTTTTTTTTAATTACTATCTTCTTACCCACAACTATGGCTTTTATCTTTCGAACACTAGTCAAAATCTCAGTAGTTATCAGTATTTAATATGTGATGTAGTTTAGTGCCTATATTTTAGCAGAGCAGGGTTGGGGTTGGTAATTCAAAAGAGGGTCAATTCCAAATCCCAAACGCTCTTAATCCAAGAGCAGTGTCTGGGTCCTTAGCAGCAGGGTAGGCAGTGGTAACTAATTTCTAACCCACTGCTAAGGGTACTGTCCTGACCCAGACCAGAGATCCCTGACCCCGAGTGAGTCCTGGTATGCTTCCCTTTAATAACCTTTAGACATCTATCTAGACCTCCTCATTTGTAAGGAAACCACAGAGCCAGAGGGAGCCATCCGTGTTCCCACACACAGCACTTTAAAATCTGTTATGGTGAAATGATGCCTCTGACTCCCAACCATTTCTGCAGTGCTATCAGAAATCACAGAGAATAATAAACACGAAGTCACTTAATTTGACCTTAAAAATTAGTGCCATTATGAGCAAGTACTTGAATAAGTATGCATTTTAGAAAATTTGGGATATGTTCTCAGTAATCACCGTAGGACTCTGACTAGAGCCCAATCAGTTTTGAAAGCCCAAGGTGGCTTTACCCAGCAAAGGGCAGGAGAGGGGACCTAAAGGCCAGAGCTTGCATAGATTTCAACATGTGGTCACACCTTAAGGGGATTTTGTGGTAAGGTCCGGCTTGCCGCCTCCTTTACTTGAGAGCTCCTGGTGACTCCTGACCGTATCAGAAGCCCCTGACATCACCTGAACAGAAATATTGGCAAGTGTTTAGAGCCATGCATAGCAATAAGAATCAGCACACACCACACTACCAAAATGAAACAATGATACTTCACAGTAACTGCTAATTAAATCTGGACAGGCCACATCTTAGTTTTCTTGTTCTAGCAAATGGAATATAGAAGTATTGATTGATTTATTGAATACGTATTTGAGATACTCAGAATGCAGCCTCCAACAATGCAAAAATGATTCCCGCTCTATAGTACTAAAGCTGCGGGGGAAGTACCGTGATGAGAATAAAGCAACAATGGTCCCAGTATTACTGGGGTACCACCTTAGCTTAGTGATGGAGAACTGACATGCACAGATGCAAGCACAGGACATCTTACCCATGATGTCGGCCTTGGCTAGTACTGCGTATCAGCAGAGTCATCAGTAACATCCCTCTGGTTGAACTACTTGAATAAGCTATAGTTAGGTTAAGAGGGGTTGGCCAGGGTCTTTAAAGCAAGGATTTGATTTTGTCTCCTGGTTCATGAAGGTGAATGTTTTGAGCTTTTTCCCCCCTAGAAGAATTCCATGCTCAGTCGTGTTCTTGCTTCTGACAGATTCAAAGACTAAGGAATCCAAGGTGCTGTAGCATGCTGGTCACACTGGTGTGGAGCCCCTTCTGCTGAAAGCAGTGCTGCTGGGTTGAGGAGGAAAAAAAGGACGGTACAACTGACACCCAGGATATGTCAGCACACCTTAAAGTCATGCTAAAGAAGTAACCCAGGGCTGGAGAAATAGCTCAGTTTATCATGTGACTGCTACAAAAACATGAAGACTTGTGTTCAGATCTCCAGCACCCATCCAGGCTGGGAGCTGCACTGTGTGCCTGCCACTCCGGGGTTGGAAAGGGGTGGAGCCACACTGTGTGTCTGCAACTCCAGGTCTGGAAAGGGGTGGAGCCACACTGTGTGTCTGCAACTCCAGGGCTCGAAAGGGGTGGAGCCACACTGTGTGTCTGCAACTCCAGGGCTGGAAAGGGGTGTAGCAAACAGATCTGAAGCTTGTTGACTAGCCTAGACAAACCAAAAAGCTTCAGACTCAATGACAAAATACTGTCTCCAAAAACAAACAAACAAACAAACAAACAAACGATGTCCAGTGTGAAGGTGCATGCTGCTGTGGGATGTTCTGTATGGCAAATGTGTTGCTCTGATTGGTCAATAAATAAATCACTGATTGGCCATTGGCTAGGCAGGAAGTGTAGGCGGGACAAGGAGGAGAATAAAGCTGGGAAGTGGAAGGCTGAATCAGAGAGACACTGCCAGCCGCCACCATGACAAACAGCATGTGAAGATGCCGGTAAGCCACGAGCCACATGGCAAGGTATAGATTTATAGAAATGGATTAATTTAAGCTATAAGAACAGTTAGCAAGAAGCCTGCCATGGCCATACAGTTTGTAACCAATGTAAGTCTCTGTGTTTACTTGGTCGGGTCTGAGCGGCTGTGGGACTGGCAGGTGAGAGAGATTTGTCCTGACTGTGGGCCAGGCAGGAAAACTCTAGCTACAGCATGCCCTTAATCCCAGCTCCCAGGGGAGGCAGAGGCAGACAGATCTCCGTGTGTTTGAGGCCAGCCTTGTCTACAAATTGAGTTCCAGGACAGCCAGGCCTGTTACACAGAGAAACCCTATCTGGAAAAAAAACAAAAAGAGAGAAAAAAAAAAGAAAGATAAAGAAAGAGACAGAGAGAGGGGTGGTGGTGATGGTAGGGAGATCCAGGAAAGACACCTGATATTGATTTCTGCTTTCCACATGTATACTTCCCTGTATACACACACCTGTGCTAAAACATACATAGAGTACTTGCACAGCACAGCTCTCCCAATACACACAATTATAAACAAAGGAAATCAATAATCCTGCTATCAATGATTATTTGATTGCTACATATTTACCAATCTTAGAGTTTTCTACTGGATATCTGAATTTCAAGATGAAGTTCTGAATGTGCCCATTTCATTTCCAAATGTATCACCCAACAGAGCACTCTCCTCACCCTCAGCCCATACAGAGGGCAGAAGACTGCTTTGTGAGTGATGCTGTGTAAAGGGGTCAGAGGTCAGGAATGCTAAACTAATGATTTCCTAACCTGGGAGGAAAGACCAAAACAAGCACATCTCAGTATGTGTTAAGTACAGTTCTTCCCATAGATCAATCTGATGAAAACTTTTCTTTCACTACCTTATCTAGAAAAGTGGCATTGTCTGTCATAAACGAAAGACTACCA